GTCCCCTGGGTGCCTCTGGGTGCAGCAGGGCACTACCCAGAGCTGCCCCTCCAGAAAGAGGTGAGGAGAGCCGGACCGCTGCGCCGTTCTCCCCCCTGGTGCCATTGCAGCCGAAGGCCGCAGGCCAAGGAGGCTGCAACTTTCCACTCACCCTCACGCCTGAAATCAGCAGCTGCACCTCTGAGACACGGGTTTGCGGTGAGAGATCCTGTGCTTGCTCTGCCAGCTTCTCAGGGGGCCAGAAGGAAGGGGGACTTCTGCATGAAAGAAATCTTCCCTTCAAATCCGTATCTCGTGCTGGCAGGGGCAACTTAGTTACTTGTACAGAAAGCTACTTGTACTTAGCTGCTTGCACACTTCAGGACATGGTTTAGTGGGCATGGTGATGTGGGGTTGGTGGTTGGACTTGATGATCTTAAAGGTCTTTTCCAACCTTAATGATTCTGTGATTCTGTGATTCTGTGACCTTAATAAAATTGAACTGGCATTTCTAATCCTGCCAGAGGTACAGAGCATGCCACTGATCTGACTTCTCTTAGATGCAAGGATGTATGTAGACATGACCTGCACACATCAGCATTATGAATGCGCTACATGACCTGGGATGATTGTGAACAAGCCAATTGTTCTGAAATGAATCAGTTCACAATGTATTGCAGAGTACAAAGGGTCTAAATCTACTAAAGAGCTTATTTGCAAAAAGGTTATGGCACATATGGCTTTACCTACATAAATGTTAGTAATAAGACTTGAAATTAAGTGTAGAAAAGCTTAATTTTAGGAAATCTTGATATACAACATCTATGATTTTCTAAAGCACCCTTTTCTGGTGAAAAGCAAGTACCTCGCCTGACTTTAAATATTAAAATATAGTAAAAGTAAAGCTAGTTTGTGGCTGCCTGTGATAGTCTATGGAATCATACCTTAGGATTAGACATCTACACAGTGACATAACCATCATTCAGGCAACAACTTTATTCCATTTCTGACACTGGTTGGAACATGAACTCTAACAAATAAAACTCACTGTTTAGAGGCTTAAATGTGTTATATGTATTAAGAAATATCCTCCCTCCTTGGGTTAGGAAGACGAGAGTAATTTATTTGCAAGCAGGAAAAGGACATTTCAGTTTTTGAATTTTGTACTAGACTGAAACAAAAATAAGTTGTTTATAGCATGGAAAAAAGACAAAAAACACCATAAACCGGGCAAGTGCAAACAGTGCAGAACTGCAATGCTAACACTTTGTAACACTGGGCATTATCTGTCTAAACTGCCTACTGGACTGGTCTGTCTAGACTAAAAAGCTAGTGTGTGGAGCGGAGCAGACCACATGATTTTCTTCCAGTGTAATGGATTCCAATGTCCATGATGGTTAAATAAATTTTAATAAAGAAAGTCACAAATATTAGGCAAGTAAGTCAAAATATCTACACACAGTAAATACCATAGAATGATGTACACTAAGTTTTCTGTAACCATACAGGGGATATGTAATTACACCCAATCTTCACTGTTGGAGGTGGAAAATGCTGTGTCACTTTCTACAAGATAAAGAACCAGTAAATCTGATTCTTCATTTAAAGGACAGTTATTTTAACAGAAAAAAAAAAAATCAAAACAGGTCTTCCAAATGTTGTAGGAATGACAAGAAGTTCAAAGCATCAGGGTGCCTCATTTCAAAGATACATGAGAAAAAGGAGACTACAAGCTTCCATATAAAATTCAGAAATTTCAAACATGTCCAGAGAACACTTTCTCCTCTTAAAGGTATGGATCATAATCTTGTGGAATGGCCCTTCCCAGTCAGGTTGTTCCCATGGAAAGCAAGCATCCTTACAAATATCCAAAGAGGTGCCAAACATGATAAACAATAGCTCCAAAATTGAGACATTGATTGTGGTTTCCCTTGCTTGAAACCCAAATTGCTTCCCATACTGCTGTCACAAAGCTTTTCTTTTCAGGATCCCAAGAGGAAACTCCACACTGCTTTGTCCTTCTTTCTGACTATTCTTGTGTCTCCTCTTTCCCCTCTGAGTTTTATTTGATCTTTTCATCCCTCAGAAATATTTAGTTCCTTTAGTACCCTACTGTTTTGTGTGAATAGGAGGGAACTCTGGTCTTCCTCAGGTGGGAATTTCAACTTGAGGGTAAATATTACTAATTGTTCCAAGAAAACAAGTTCTTTTCATGGCAAACATACCTGAGCTGAATTTCATATTGCCCTGCATGACGAGACTGCACATTCCTCAAGATCAGTGTGAAGATGTCTTCATTTTGCAGGATTTCACATGCTGTTCCCGGCATTATTTCTTGTCCATCTTTAAACCAGTGAACAGTGGGGAAAGGATCTCCAGCAATGGCACAGGATATAAGGACGTTTTGCCCAGGAGCTGCTGTCACTGATCTCGGTTTGCTAATGAACCAGGGCTGAATACCATCCTGAGGTTCTGTAGTTTACAAACACAGTTTACAAATCAGGAGAAAATGTCAAGCTTGAATGTAACTAATAAGCTAACTAATTTCAGGGAAAGCATCAAAGACAAGTAAAGTTATTTGAAGATGCAGTGTATAAGTTTTTCATCTGCAGATAAGTCAGACTTCAATTTTGGCAGTAACTTGTGTTGGTACTAAAATTAATCATTTACTTGGCACTTTACTGGCTCGATCCAAGCTTATATTAAGAGCAAAACAAAGGGACTTTTAAGCTGCCCTAAAAGGAATCTTGAAGATTTGTCCTTAGAGAATATGGGTAGGAATAGCTTTAAAGGCAAGTGACAGTACTATGCCTGCTGTGCAGTTGAGAGCTCATGTAATAAATAATCATTAACAATTGCATAAAATTGCATTTAATATGGAAGAGTGACCCTGACGCTAGATCTCTAATCTCTAGGGAGATTAGATAATAGTGGAAGATCTGAATTCAGAGCAGACAGTGACAACAGACTACAGACCCACCCCTGGAGGCATCGCTCTGAAATCCTGGGGCTAAGATCCTTTACAATAAAAATAATAAAAGTCTCCTATTGATTTACAATAATTCTTAGTAATAACTATGGGAAAATATTGGCATAGAGTAAGAGTAGATGAAGTCCCCTGTCATGAAGGTAGCGAATGCCCAATCGTAGGAAGTTTGTAGGTACTTCAACGTTTACTGTGGGATTTACATCGTATGTGGAGATTCAAAGCCAAATTTTTTTTCAGCTAGTTCTCAAATTGCAGAAATCATGTGTTCCTTACCTGTTACCACTACAATGCTAATATTAAAGCCAAGATACGTGGCTCCTAGACAGCTTTTCCAAATACTCAGGGCTTTAATTAGAAAGAAAAACATCATTAAATGGTTTACATTAAGTCCATAGCTAAGTAAGCCTTATAATCTGAAGCTGCATTTAGAAGAAGTTTTGCACTGTCCCTAGGAATAGGACTTAGGAATGCATTTTTGAAATAGTAACATAATGTTCCAGAGTGAAAAGATCTTTTTAAAGTTGCTTCTGCTTAATATCCTTTTTAATTCAGATGCAGAGACACAGAACTCCTATGATCCTTCACAACAGACCTTATAAACACTCATGCACTTTAAATAGACACTCCTCCAGCACATTAGAATTATTTCTTTTTAACATTTCCTAGGGTGGAGAAGAACTTTATACCTTGTACTGTCAATGTAGCCTGGGTTTGAGTTTCTCCTAATTCATTCCAGGCTTCACAGGTGTATTTGCCTGTATCTTCAGGAAATACTTCCTGGATATACAGACTGTACTCATTGCCTTTCTTCTCAAAGTGGAAATCTTCTGTCTCCTGGATTTCTTTCCCATTGTGCAGCCAGATAATTTCAGGAGGTGGGTTAGCTGAGAAATAGGAAACAACAAAAATCAGACACAGACACAACCCCCCCTCCATATATTGATTAAGCAAAGGAACAAGGCTGGTTGCTTTCTGCCACCTGATTCTGCAATTTCATCTTCAAAACATTCAGGAATTTCATTAACTCTGTCGATGTTGTGTAATGTGGAAGAGTTCTGAGTCTGTTTTATTACAGTTAAAATACAAATAAATAAGGGAAGCATGTATACAATAGAGAGGGAGAATGAGCTCTAGATCCCACGAAGGTGGCTATCAAGGGTTTCTATGACCAAAGTTCATCCCAGGGCTGCTCTTTTCTGCAGCACTAATCTTACGCCAGTTGACAGGAATTCAATCTTGTTTAGTTCACAACAAAAGCTATCACACATCTGCTGAGACTTAGTTTTAGTTCAACAGCAGAACCCAATAATAACCTTGTTGTTGTTGTTATTATTATTCCAATAAAGAAACATTTGTACAGGTCTGAACACATTAACACTGGACAATGTTCATCCACCCTGAAGATCAATTAGACAAACCAAGGTTTTATTTTAAAAAATTGGTTCCTTGAAATATTATTTTCAAATACAAAGACACCTGCTAAAAGAAAAGAACAATGAAAAAAGCACATACTTTGCAGCAAGACTTAAAATTTTTAAATAATACCATTTATAGCTGCGCACCTGATACCTCCACAGTCATTATCACTTGACTTCCATCCATTACTTTGAGGTCAGTCAGGCCTTTAAGGAAGATGGGTGCAAAAGTCTTGTTTAACTTGGCAGCCTGTGCATTTTCTGCCTTCTTGCTGCTCTTCTTTTCTGTGAAGTCAAGAGGAGAACAAAAGTGGTCTCTTACTGGAATTTTCATGATGAATTTTAACCGACCTTAGGTTCAAACTGATTTTGAGTCAGTGGTCTTGTTTCAGCCCTCAGAAGGCAAAAGTCATTGAAAACACCCAAAAATAGCTGTTTTGCCTTGCCAGTAGTACAAGCAAAAAGGTAACAAATGGGAATGGAACTGTCCTTCCTCCAGGGAACCTCCTAAATCATTGTTAACAGATATCATAGAGTATCACACAGAAATTTATGCTCATTTTCCCCAAGTACACATGCTCAGGTACAAAAAAAACCCCAACAACTTGTAACCAACAATTCAATGCCTTTAATCACTGCTAAATTCACATAAAAATCTTAAGGTATCTTACAAGTTGCTATTCTCATGATTGATGTATGTATTTATTACACATTAATTGTATTTATTAATATTGATTATATATTATTATATATTAAATGTAAATTCACAGCAATATACAATTTGCCACTCTGTATGAAACTACAAACCATTTAGATTGTTAGACGGTCAATATCAAATGGGTTTGAGTTCACCATACGCCTTTCCTGTATTACACTTAGTCAACGGATTGATGAAATGTATGGGAAAGATTGGAACCTGGGCTTATCAACATATATCTCAAAACAAACTATTGGATTAGGACTTTTTCTTTTTTTTTTCCCTTTTTTTTTTTTTGGGTGGCTGTACAATCAAATTATGAGTGTTGGAATTAAATTAATCACTTTTGAAAATAAAATCTAGCTGTGATAGATATGTAATTTCCAGTATCCACAATGGTCTCCTCTGTCTTGGATTCAGAGGCTATGAAGCAAGATCGTTTCACTGTGACCTAAATGGTACACTAGATCAGGAAAGATACTTCTGCTGTAAAAACCTGAGCAATGACACTTCTGAAGCCAAAGTAGTGATCATGACCAAATGTAAGAAGTCACAAATATTTATTGGTCACTTGGATACACTTTTTGTTATTTTTAGCTTGAGTTCAGACCTCTTATGTCTTGCCTTTAAAATGGCAACTTACTTTCAAAGTCCATAGATGAAAATAGCTTCATTTTGCTTATTCCTAACTTCAAAATTTTCAAAGGTGTATCAGCTCATCCAAAATAGTATTACAGCAACACAAAGGGCCAGGCTGGAAAAAACCCCACCATTCATAAAAGGATGGTGATTAGAAAAGCTGAAAGCACCTCAACTGATCAAGTCGACTGAACCTCCTGGAGGCAAAAACTTAAGCTTGTCCCAGGTTTATTTGAACTCAATGTAAATTTGGAAGCTGCCTGGAGAGGAAGTTTTGCCTCCTCTCTAGCAAAGCTTTTTCTAGCCAAAATCTTGTCTCACTGGCTTGTGTTGTAGGTCTGTTCTTGGCATTGAGCAGTGAGACATTGATGCATGTGAGAATGGAAATACGGGACCTGACTGAGACCCGCTAAGCTCAGTGTTATGGATTTACTACTCTGAAATGCCTAATTCACCATCAGACCACATTGATCAGTTTTAGGGCTTTCTATAGCACCTGCTTGTGAGTGACTAATGCTGTATAGAAAATAGCTATGAATTTGGGTCAATCCCATCTACAGTGATAAACTGCTGTGGTTCACCATATTCCTCTGTTTTGTACTGTTTGCTTGGGGAAACTGCTGCAAACAACTGCTGGGCTAAGAAATATCAGCACATACTCCTTCACCACTCTAACGCCTTGCAGAAAATCCCTTTGTCCCTCAAACAGAAACAGACCTGGGAGGGGAAGCAGAAATCCATATAGAGGGAAAAGAAGGAAAATAAAAAGAAGGAGGAAAAGGAGAAAACAAGAAAGTACTAATAGAGGAAAGTGGCATAGGGAAAAAAAAGAAAATGACACTTAAATGATAATGATTTGGTTATTCCTTTTATTGCAATTCATAACATTGCAAATCGAGAAGGCAGACATGCAATAAAAGGAGAGCAAGGAAAGGAAAATAAAAGGTAGAAAGCAGAGGTGTGGTTCTAGACGAACAGAGGAACAGACTTAGGATATGATCAGAGAAGTTCAAGCCTACAGAGAAGGACAGATAAGAAAAAAAGAGCTGAAACAGCTCCCACGAGAGAGTTAACAGTGAGCAGGAAACAATTTAACTAGCAGTGGCTCTAACAGCAGTTCTTGCAGAACAGACTGAGCTGCCTCCAACAGAGCCCTGGTACAAACAGCATTAAGTACTAGCAGCACTCCACATCCCTCAAAACTGGCTTTTTCCTTCATTAGGCTGATGTGCCTGTTCCATATAGTCTAAATAAATGAATTTCTGTAATCAAGGAATACAACACAGTATAACAGCCTCAGCATATTAAAAAATGGGTGAGCAACTGCAGAAGTTAATAGAGCAAAATCACTTCCCGAAAGGGATTTTTCAGCAATGCTAACCCCTCCGGAATATGTGCTGCAGATTAAAGTTTCATGTACTGGAATAAAACCATCTTTTTGCACAGAGCTGCATAAACATTAAAAGGAAGCAAGCAGATCATTCACAGTAACTGTACATAAGAATCACAAATCCAACAATATTACAAAAAAGTTATGCCTCAGTTTCTGAAGTTATCTCAGGCAGATGTATCCTATGCTGGTGAGGAGACCTTAATGATATAAGTGACATTAAGAAGATTACTGGGGGTACAGGCCTCTACCCCTAAAAGAGAGTCCTGCAGGATTAAAGGATAAAGAACAACTTGACATTGTTACTGATCAGTGCTCACTATTTGTAAGTGAAGCTGTCAAACTGAAATGAAGGGGCCAGAACCTGCCTCATCATCACACAAATCTTAAAAATAGCATTTACACTGACTTATGCTGATCTCTTGTATGAAGACCAGTTCTGTGCTTAAACAGAAAATTATGATGGTAAGTATCAGAAAACAGAAGTCTATGGTATATAAGCAGTAAAAAACTTAAAAGGGTACAGCTTCAATAGTCCAAAAAAAATTACTGGAGAGATGAAAGTGTTATTTCATTAGGGAGAACTGAATATAAACATGCAGAGGAATATTAAGACCCAAATATTGAAAACTTAAGGATTATTTAAGAGACATAAACAAAGGCAACTTTATATATCATAACATTTCTGAAGACATTCCTGTCCTTGTAAACCTATCATATACCAATGCACATACACTTTGATTTATTCCTTGAAGTATTACCGGATTCCTCAATACCTTTTACAAAGCAGGTGTAAAAACACCTCCCTTTCTATTGCTGATGTTGTTCAGAGTACAGGAGCAGTGAAGGCATTTCTTTACCAACTGATATGAAATCTGTCATATGTAAGAGCTCAAAAATTAGAAGCTATCATGGCTAAGGCAACCAGTATTCCTTTTCCTAATGTATGACATCCAGGATACAGTAAATATATATGGCTAAAAAGACTGACTCCATAGCAACTTGAACAGCCTTTTTTCAAAACACAAGAATCCTCCCCTACTTTTTAAATACATATTTTAACAGAGATCTCTGATCTTATGCTACTGTTACTCCATGGTACACATTGATCAGTAGCATATGTTTATTGTACCAACAACTTAAGCAGAATATCACCAAAATTATCTACTATTTCTTGACTTGGCAGCAACAATTAGAAAGACTTACATTCTAATCCATAAACGCTATTTGTTCATTAAGAAGCCATAGGGCTCATTTCATGTAACATTTCTTAGTTTACTTAAAATTTGATATTGTGGACGTCTACACTTAGGAAAAAAATAAACTGACAACTAGAGTTCCTAGCAGATGTTTTACACAAGACAACACAGCCAGTTTTAGATGCATTATTTAGTTTAATTTAGTCTTAGTCTAAAATAATTCCATTTTCTCAGAAGGGACTGGTAGAATCATGTAGAGGACAGATTATGAAGACTGAATGTTAAATATTTTCAAATTTTCTGAAGCTTGTAAATGCTTTTAGTTGTTTATTTCTTACATAGCACCATGCAGGGACTCAGTGCTCCTCTGATGAAGGCTTTAACATTTCACAATTTTACCATGAGATAGCAGTGCTGTACATTTTCACAGCTTACTTTAATATACCTAAGGGCTTCTTCAATTTTAGCATTTACAGCTCTTGATTGGGAAAAAAAGCCATCAATTTGATTTTGAAGGGTACTTAGGGAAAGAAAGATTAAGCAAATAATTCCTGTTCCCGTTTATGGTGAAAAGATAGTATGTGATTCTATTTCCTTTTGAAAACACCTGGTTAATTATTTTGCAGGAAAGCAGTAGAAGAAAAACCATACACAAAAACACAGGCACTCTTTGCAGAAAGGTAGCTTCAGAAAGTGTAACAACCATAGAAGTTCACATTCCCTGGCCACAGCTGGGTGCTAGCTAGTCTTATACATCAGGAACAAAATCGGTGACTTGCACCAGGAAAGCAGAAGGCAAGAAGATAAGAAAAACAGGGCACAAATAAGCAAGCTGCACACAACAAAAGGCCAGTATTAGGACTTTCTTTCCCTCTTTCCTCCAAAGCCCCTTTCACTACATGAACTCTGCTGGGTTCAAAATTCATATGCTCTTCAGTGACAGCTGGCTTCAGAGCCTGAAACAGGCTGAGGGAAGGAAGAAAAAGAAGAAAGCACAGGTACAGCTCCAAGCTTAAATACTGCAAGTCACTATGCTTCTGGCTGAAACAACCTCTTTTGTAACACTGCAGGGTATTTTTGCTGCCAAAACTATAGGCAATAAAAATACGGCACATCTGGCACAAGAAAGGAAATCTGGAACCTAAGGAAAATTTTGTCTGATATTAGCATAAGGGCATGACTCTGTTATATATCTACACGTCCTCAAGCTTAATCAAGTGGATGTGAAATAGAAGAGATCCGACCTCTTCCTATTATGTTAATGCACTCCCATCGCCTATAGTCATTTAACATCTCCCTCACCACTCTTACCACATATTACCTCTAAGAATGAAAAGAAGAAATATAAGAGTTATCACAT